TTTATTTTTTAATTAAAAATTACATCTATAGGTCATTTCATTAGGTCCCATTAATTTGTACACATTCAAATTCCTCAAAATATTTTGAACCTGACCTCCAGGTTCAAACTACAGCAGGTGGTTCTTCATTCTCCCAGTCCCTTCTGGGACTTGAAGTCTTCTGCAACTTGGCTGGAACATTTGCCAGCTTCTTCACATACACATATCAGATCTCCCATTTCCTTCTGGTGAAGGCTCACATTTTCCTTGGTCTTTCTTTTATCGCAAACATACCTATTGAAACTTTCCTTGTTACCCTTGACATCCCTGGCCAGACTTAATTCTTTCAGGTCTTTAGCTTTCCTAACCTGACCCCTGGCTGCTCAGACAATCTCCCTGTGTTCCTCTCAGGCTACCTGTCCTTGCTTCCACCTGCTGCAGGCTTCTTTTTTGTGTTTGAGTTTATCCAGGAGCTCTTCGTTCATCCATAGAGGCCCCCTAGCCACTTGATTTCCTCTTTGTTAGGATGCATCACTCCTGAGCTTGGAGGAGGTAATTCTTGAATATTACCCACCTTTCTCAGGCTTCTCTTTCCTCCAGGACTTTCTCCCATGGCACTCTATCAAGCAGATCCCTGAGTAAGCCAAAATCTGCCCTGCTGAAGTCCAGGGTATGGAGCTTGCTGTGCACCCTAATCACCACCCTGGGCATCTCAAACTCCACCACTTCATGGTCACTGCAGCCCAGGCTGCCCTGGAGATTTGCATTCCCCACCAGATCCTACCTGTTGGTGAGACCAAGGTCCAGCATAGAACCTCTCCTGGTTGGCTCCCCTATCTCTTGGAGGAGTTACCATCAATGCATTCCAGGAATCTCCTGGATTGTTTATGCTCTGTTGTGTTGTCCTTCCAACAGGTACTGGGGTAGATGTAGTCCCCCATGAACACCAGGACATCTGAATGTGAGAACAACCATAGAGTACCTCATGTGCTTCCTGGCCTGGCAGCTGTAGCAGACCCCCACTACAGTGTCACCTGTCCCTGCCCTCCCTTTAATCCTGACCCACGGGCTCTCAGTTGGCTCCCCTCTCTCCCCAGACTTTGCTCCACGCACTCCAGCTGGTCACTGGCATAGAGTATAACACCCTGTCCTCATCTCTCCTGCCTGTCCTTCCATTCCAACACTCCTGTCACAGCAGCCATCCCAGGACACAAGACCACAGCTCTGCAGGTGTGTGCATGTCTCTGCCTCCTCCTGTTTGTGCCCCTGCTGTGTGCACTTGCACAGGGGCAGCGAAGTCGGGTCCCCAGTGAAACCAACTCTCTTGCTGGTTACTCTGCAAGTTGTTTATTTAACCTGTCAGAACACAGAACATTGAGAGTGATGTAAATAAGTCTCTCCTACTTATATCAGTTAAAGAGATTTCAGCTCTTATGAATAATTGATGCTGTATGTAATTACAAATGCTGAAAATAAAAAAATAAAAAAATTAAATGCCTGCCTGATGTTAGACCAATGACCCAACACAGTGAAACGGGCTGTCACAGCTCATTATTTGGAATCAAACACTGATCTTTTCCCACCCAAGGAGCTTGATCAAGATTTTAAGCTTTTCTTTTTTTCATTTTCACATGTATTCTTTCAGATTAGTGTCCCATGTTAAAGCAACAAAGTGAAGCTGTTGATGAGTTTTTCTATCTTAAATACACATCCTGTTACTTAGCATGTTTGCCCTTAGAAATTCATCACTGTTATTGCTTGTGATCAGTACACTTGGTCATCATATGATTAAAAGTAATTAGCAATCTAGACAAGAGGAAAAATACATATATAATTTACAGCAAAAATTATAATTTTCTGTAATACCACAGGGTAAAAAAGTTAATTTGTGCTAGAATTAGTCTACATACAAGCTGAAAATGTGTATATGTGTGGAAATCTTGGTTTGGAGCACTTGCTGTCCTCAACCCCAGATTACTCAGGATATATGATGAAAAGCAATAGTGTGTATGAAAGAAGAATTCTACCCTCCAGAGACAACATCTTTTGAAAACAAAACGGAGGCTAAAAATACAATGCAATAAATGTATGAGGGAGGTCAGCCTTCCTAGACCATGCCCTGTGCTACAAAGACCCAATCCCACAGGGCCAAGACCCAAGACCTGCAGTCCTGCTTCAGCTGGTCACCACTTACGGATTCTGTTTTGTACAATTTACTAAACTGCTTATTTCTGCCCCAGCAGAGTGGGTTGGGGTTTGTGGGTTGGGGTTTTTTTTGTTTGTTAGGATTGTTTGGATTCTTTTTAACATGATCACTACACCAAATATCACTTGCAGTAACATCCTTCTTTGCTAATTTATTTCCATCTCCAAGGGATATTCTGCTATAGCCAGAGCATAGCTTACAATTGCTACCAAACAATCTGACACAAAATATCAGTAATGCTTCTCCCCATCTCTAAATGGCTTCTTTTCACTTGAAATTTCACAAGCTATTTTAAGAATATTGTGGTTATTTGCTTTCTAACACTGCTGCATAGGCATTTAGATCCATTTCATGTTCTTTTCTGCTTCCTGATTTTGCTGCCTGAAGCATATATACTAATGTGTGCACATTCCCTATCAGAACACAAGAAAAACTGGTCATTCTGCCAAAGCTCTACCAGCAATGCTCAGATCAGCTGGGATCCTGTAAAGGATCAAACTGACATAACTGCTTCGGGTTCACCAGCTCATAAAACAAAAAATCTGTATCTGTCCTTGAAACAATATTTCTGTCAAAATGAAAACTAGAGCACTGAAGATTTTATATGAATGACGTGTTCTCCTAATTTCCTTCCCTTAGCCATTATGTAACAGTGCTTTAGGTCTTTGGGAGTGGGGAGAGTGTGGTTTGTTTGATTGGTTTATTTTTCACAAAACTTTGGCCTATGTCTTTTGTCTCTTGACAGTACCTGCAAGATATATTTATTACAAAGGAATAACATTGCAATCTCACTGATGGAAGTGGGCTGGAGAAGATGTCAGTATTATTCTCTGAAGGAGTGCACCTTTGTGTAGAGTTTATAATTATCTCATCTATTTTATATCATTTGACAATGGTGAACATAACTGCTTTCTCCCATACACATTCATACTACCCATCTCTAATCTAAAGCCTCAAAGCGTTTGAGACTCAAGGTTTCCTACTATTTTTCATATTTTCGTCACTTTGCTATTAGGTTATTACAACAAATCCTACATGGGCAAACACCATTAAAACTTTCCAAAGCAAAGATTTTATACAAAGACTCTGCTTGGCTCCTAGGACTGCCTTGGCAGAAATGTGTGGTACAAAATACCTTGATGAAGAAGTATATGAATATGTATAATCTGCAATCTGCATTGCCTGCTTATTCACTTCCTGGTTAAATCTAAGATTTTGGACTTGATGCATATTTTAAAGTTTGCATATTTTAAGAACATTACGTAGTTAAAGGGAGTTTCTCTTGCATTCATGTTAATTCATTCTCAGCTATTCAGATCTAAAATAGACAATTTTGTTAGCTTTCAGATAATGAAGCAAAGCACATTTTCCACACTTGGTTTTAGAGACAGGCTGAGAGAAGTACCTAATCAGCAAACACAGTGACTGTAAAGAAAAAAATTTTTAAAAGCCCAAACCCCAAGTGTTATTGCTTGAATATAATGAGAAGAATGGCTGTTTCAGAAAAAAAAAACCCAACAAAAAAACCAACAAAAACTGAAAAAAATCGGAAAAAAACCCCAACCAAACAAAATAATACAAGCATCTAACTAGAAAAGCCATGGCCAAAAAGAGAAGCTGTTAAGAAATATTCTCTCCTCACTACTACCACATAAAAGAACCTTGTGGGTGATACTGATGGCTGGACAGTGCTTCCTTGAATCCACCAAACAAAACACCTAATAGTCTGCAAGCAGAGCCCACCACTCATTTCCTAGTAAGGTGTTCCACTGGTTAAACTACAAATGACATAATTCCCACATTAGACAAACTGTCCAATGTCTGGCAGCAAACAAAACCAGTTAGTGAAACAACAACAAAATGAACAAGTCTCAGTATTCTCACACCAGCCACACATCTACTGAAGTCACTCAACTTGGTGGCTGACACCTTCCCCAAGCTCAGATCCCACAGGTCTGAGTGTGGCTTCTGAGAACAGGTTTGGGATACTTCTGGGTCTTGTTTTTCTGTTTCTAGCTCTTTGGCTACAGACCTGGGCAACACCAGCAACAAAAGCCTGGGCTACAAAAAAACTAGTGTAGAGATCTGAGTTTGAGTCAAGGGTAGAAGAGAGAGGAGGGAAATGACAAAATCCAAAATATTTTGCTGTTCCCTTCCCAAATATATGCAATGCTAAGTTACTGCAAGCAGCTATGGGAGATTACAGAGAAGCTGCTGGCCAAAGCACCCTTTGTGATTTGGCCTTTACAGCTCTCAGGAACAAGTGAATGAAGCACAGCTGGTGCTGGCAGCTGCACTCACTTCAACACAGGCCTTGGACACCATGGCAGCATCTGCTCTCATCTACTCTTGCACACGTGTGGGGCAACGTGAGTCCAAGGAGAAGGTGAGATACAGAGTCAACTTGAATAATACAAGCATCTACCTCCCTTTCCAACAGTCAAAACCACAATCCACATCCTCAATACCACAGATAATGCCCAAGTTATAGAGATTCCAGGTGTGATTCAGGTTGACCTTAATGAATGTCTGTATGAGCCATGGAAGGGCATAGAGAAATCCACCAGAGAACCCCTGGTGACAGTGATACCACAAGTGATTCCACAAATCTACACAGGCTTAATCTAGAGTTAGCTGCATGCTGACCTGTTGACATTGCTTCAACAGCAATGCATTCAGGTGCTGGTGAAGACATGTGAGATCTCCCAGAGCAATTGAAAGACTGCAGAGAACAACAAAAATCCATCAACAATGAGCTACCATGACTCACAACAGAACAACAGAATATTGTTCTCTCTATTGTTAATGACACAAAGGAGCACCACACCATATGTCTATCATGCTGTCAACAATGAACTTGAGGATCTTACAAATGGCACCTCCAAAACTGAACATCTGGCAGTTGTTCTCCCCTGAACTGGGCAGGTAAAGAATAGCAGCAATTAGGGATAACTACTTTCCAAGTGATCAGGCAGGACTTAGACCCACTGCCTTAGGCATGCAGAGCATGTTAAAACTCACAACACAGTATGTTGCACAGCCCAGTTGCTGTCTTGTACTCAATCATAATATAACTGTGCTGGCATTTGTATGACCATGATCAAACACAGACCCAAGTTGCTGCATGTGACTGTCCCAGTGCCAGGAGGGAAACAGCAGCTAATACAGTGCATATATGGTGTAATGCATTCCTTCAGCCTCTTTTTCCAGGCCTACACTCATATTAAACTGTTTTTCTCTTCCACAGTAACAATTCTCCAGAACATTCCGGGACTACAGCACAGACTACAGAAAATTAGTACCGATACAGTGGCTTGACTTGGTGTGGAGATTATTGTGCCCCAAAGGTATAATTTGTGCATAACGATACCAAATATTGCCACTTGAGCCCCTTTATATATCTTTCTTTATTCTCAAACTGCTTCCTACCTGTGCCTCAATTATGGAATCTTTGAGGCTAAATAACTCATTTTTTCAAGAGAATGGAGAGGTCAAAGAGATCCCACAGCTGAGCAGATCTTACGGCCAGATTAATAGGACATATCTTTTCTGTCCTGAACAAACCAACTCATGCAAGTGAGCTGAGGAGTGGCAAAGGAAGCTGCAATTCCAATTTATTTCAGTACCTCTTGTTGTGTTAATGTTTTGCCAGAGATTACTGGCAGCACCAGAACAACATTCTCTGAGAAAAGTGGTTGTCAATGTACAGATACAAAGATATACCTCTTATAATTTGTTTTCTTGATTCTGCAGTAGCATTAAAAGCACTCTACAATGTAAAAACTAAATCCCATTATGTCTTTCAGCTCCTTGAAAGTTCATCCAACTTGTGGATGACATTCAGAAATGTCTAGTAATGGCAAACAGTGGATTTTCCAGCACTTCTCCATTTTGCTCAATAGTTTGGGCAGCACTTGAAAAGTTGCTTCTGTTGTAAGTAAACCTCAGCATCATTTATTCTTTCCCTGGCTAGGGATGCTTGAGAATGTTGTCCTGATTTCCTTCAGTAACTATCTGTGAGATTCCTACCAGGGGCCAACTTTCCATGACTCTTGATAGAAAAACTCTCCAAAAGGCTGATTAGTCATCAGGCAATGAAATAATTCTTGGCATAAAGTAATGGTCTTCCAACAGAAGACTTTTAAAAACAAAAACAAAACAAAACCAAACAAAACCTACTATGCTTCCACTTCAGATTCCATAGTAAAATTACATATATGATATGTATGTGATAATGACACTGTTACCTGAAATACAGCTAAAACCAACCATAGAAAACATCATGGGTCATGATCCAAAGACTCCTTCCCTCTAGACCCATCCAAGAAGTCCAACACACATTTTCACATTGTCTATTTACACTTACCTACCTGGGAACATGATCCAGGATTTGGGTACTGAACAGGAATATACAGAGCTAGAATAAAGGCAGACTAGCAGATGCAGATAATCTGGAGTCTTGCTCAGACTGCTTTGGAAAATGGCACAAAGGCTTTAATCTGTCTCTGACAAAGTGCTACTTTTCTTGACAAAGAAAAGTAGCACTTTTTCTACTACTTTTTCCCCCAACCTACAGTGCCCTTCAAGAACTTCTATTTCTTTTAAAGCAGGTAAACAGAAAACATCCACACTGCATTAAAAAAGGAAAACAAAAAACTAAGAGATGAGCCTGCCTGACTGGGTACATGGCAGACTAGCAACCCACACCTCTGGAAAAAAAAAAAATGCCCTACATTCCAGGCTATGCCATATTCCAAGGACAAGCACTAAAAATTCTTCTCTTGAAGCCAAGACAATGTGCAAACAAGCATGCTAAAAAGCAGACTGGCCCAGTGATCTGGATATTCAAGTGTCCACAAAGATAGGCTAGAGTTTCTTCTTTAATTTACTGGAAGATGCATGCTTTACATTAAACCCTCAGCATAAAAAAAACCCAACCCATTTTTGTAAATTAAATTGGAATTTTCTAACATTTCTGCCTTGCTTTCTCAAAAAAAAAAAAAACAAAAAAAAAAACCGCAAAAACAACACAAAAAAAACAGAAAAAGCTCTCATAGACTGCTTTAGGAAGTTTCTGAAATTAAAGAACATTCAATTCATAAATCAGGTTAAATATTGCTTTTCACTTCCATTCCCAGCAACCACATTAGGTTAGCACAAGAGAAGATGAGGGGATTAAAATTATTTTGGTCAAGAAAATAAATAAATGTCCTAATAGTGGATTTTTTAAAAAACCTATAAAGTTACAAAAATGGACAATTATTTTTGTAAGAAAAAACAGTGACTTAAGATTAAAAATCTATTCATCTTCTATAGGCTGAGTCAATGTATGACCTTTATGTTAAATGTGACCTGAAGAGCACATGGCTGAATGTAGGATTCTGTAATAGTTATATGGCAGGAGCCCACACTTACAGCCACAGTGCCTTTTGTATAAATAATTTGGTAAATGACAGTGTGAGTTAGGAATATCAAGCAATGCAATCTTAGGTTTATTCCACTTTTAAGGGCAATCTTTCTAGCCTAAACAAACCTCCTCTGTTTACAAAGGCTTTGCTGATTGCTTAGGTATTCCTGCACTTTTCAATCAAAGATAAACTCATAATTTTCTATATTTGGCCAGAAAAAAATGATACATCAGATAAAAATTTCTTAAGTTCTAGCATCAATTGGGCCCTGGACTATCAGATACAGACAGTTTTTCAAGTATTGTAGGCAAACAATCACAAATGAGCCCTTCACAATCCTTCATATACATTCTGCTTACAAGATTCCTGCAAGCTGGGAATGGCAAATATTCCATTTCACCAAGTTTCAGGCACTAGTGCAAACTTCCCAAAGGCACACAGCAAGTCTGTGACACACATGAAGATTTAACCTAATTTGTCTTAACTCTCAGAGCCCTACTTTAATTTGTGGATCATTCCTCTTCCTTAAAGGATAGTTATCAAGGGATGAGATTAGAATAGACCAAAACTTAGCCTTCAGTCCAAATTCCTTTGTCTTGTGGATTTCATCCAGGCCCACAGAGCATTAAAATAATTTTTTCCCACAACTTTTCTCTTATGACTGGTAGGATATGTGAAGTTCCTCAGTTACTACACTGCACCACATATAATCATTTAAAAATGTTCTTATCACTAATTTGATGGACTACAAGACATCATCAGGCCAGTCTATTAAAAACAGATATGTGTATATTTTCTAAAATACATAATTTCACAGGCATGGTATGTGTTTCTGTATCACAGCCTTAAAATTTCTGTATTATAGATTACCACTATCCAGTTTTACAGACGTGTAATTCTGCTAAATATGCCTCATTCATTTGTTTCACACCTCCAGTTCAAAGCTCTCCTTTTTGCATTTAAAACAAGAAGTTACTTAGAAATCAAACCACTTCCATAAAATATGTAGGATCTGAGCAATAGAAATTGCAGTCAAATAAAAGTTATAGGTATTCTCTTAGATATCAAAACTACAGATCACCAAGAGTACTTTTTTAAAACTGAGAACTATGATTAAAATTTCTTTTGATACAAACAGGAAAAGAGTGATGGTTTTGTATCCAGTGCCAAGTTTCAGCTCACATTCTCGCTGGAATTTGTGTAACTTTCCAACTACAGACTACAACTACAGACTTCTTTCCACTCCCTTAAGTACAATCAGTTATATGCATCTGATCCTCACTCTAGGAACACAGAACTCCATGTCAAACAATAACTACACAGGGAGAAGTTATCCTTAGAAAACATCGCAACTGCTCAATCTGTAAAACAAAATTTGTGCTAGAAAGGCGTGAGGCTAGTTTTGGTGGGGGGGGGTGGG